AATTTCTGAAAGGGGAATTTAGGAGAATATATGGAAGAATAGGGTAATACCTTTTAAAAGTTAAAATTACATTATATCCTTGTTATGTAATAGTGTTTGAGGCTTCCAGTGGTCTCCAAAGTAGTTCGGATAGAATTGAAGATTTGTCCATCACACTGAGATACTGGCAGTGCTTAGACATTAGCCGTGCACCTCATTTAAGCTTTTGCTTCCTCGTGGTAAAAAGCAAGATGATGCTAGGGACTACGTCATGGGACTCTGGTAAAGGTGGACCGTGCATGGGGTGCGTCACAGAGCCCTGCCTGCAAATGTCAGCTGTCTTCATTAATAACATTTCCGTTAGGGTGTTCCGAGAAGGCAAGAGGGTGATTGTGCCATCCTGAATATTTTATAGATTTATATTGCTTTCCTTTTGGAAAGGCTAGTTTACATTTATTTATCCACAAACTAAAGCTGGGGAGGTCAGTAGCATGCTGAGTTTCTTGATCAGAGTAATGATTTCACATGACTGGCAGCCCCGCGTGGCCATGGGGCATTTTCTCTGTGGCGGTGATGCCATCCTTGTCCCGTCCCACTACAGTGTCTTAAAAGAAGTGGTCCTGATACCAAGACCACTTCTTTTCCCCATCAGTCGTTGGAACTGATGACGGGAGTTTCCAAAGCAGGGAGAGAAAAGGAGCAAGATGTTTGTTCTGACCTAGATGTTGCAGGATGTTACGAGGCCATTCAGGTTCTTGTCATCTCGCTCTGGATCATTACAAGAGTAGTAAGGTATTCTTCGTAGCCCATCTGTACTTCATGTGATTATTGGAAAACCTTTTCTTGAGTAACCTGAAAATCACTGTGTGTTCTAAACGGTGTTTTGCTGGCTTCTGGACTTCACCCTCCCCAGCCCCTCAGTACCATTTGTGTGTCTAGGACGGAGGTGCTCTTCACTGCATCTGCTCCCTGTCTTCCTTTGGTTTGTAGTCTATGTGTTGTTTTCCGTTTTGTGACTGTCTGCCGACCCTCCTCCGACTCCCTCTACTCTGGATTTCCTGCTTTTTGTAATGCAGTTAGGCATATTGAGACGCTAAGGTAAACTTTTAGTGAAGCTTCATGCTATTCCAAAATGATGGACTTGAGTATAGACCGATGCTCCTTTTGTTAAGGGCGCTTTGCTAGACTCCGTCAAAATTTTACACGTATCAACCCCTTTGGCAGAAATTCTCCTTGTGGAGATTTATGCTCCAGAGAAATATCACATGAAGATGAACGCACATGGATTTTATTATGGTGCTGCATGAGGTAGCGAAAGACTGGGAACAACCTAAATGTCCATCAGGAGGGGACTGGTTAAATAAGTCACAGTACTGACAATAATGCAGGACTACGTAGCGTTAAGAAAAGAATAGATACTTAGGTGCAGGTATGGAATGAGCTCCACAATACATTGTTAAGGGACCAAAAAAATACGCTGTGTACAGGAAATATGCCCCACTGTGTTTAAAGGAAAAGGGATTTGAATTCACGTTTGTACTTGGCAACGCCCTGCGCAGTTGTGGAAAGAGAAATAACAGCTTGTGCACAGCAGTCCTTCTGGAGGGCATCCTGGGAGGGAGGTGGCCGCTCTCGTCAGTGTTCATCGCTTTGTATCTTTCGAACTCACACCATGGGAATATCTTCCCTTTTTATTTTTTCTTAAAAAGTATCCTTGACATTTTATTCTACATTTTCTTTATAGACTGGTGTTGCCATTAGTACTTAATTCACTTCATCATAAAAGAAAACAGAAGCACTCGGGCTCTAGGCCTTGACGGTAGACTCACGTGACAGTTTTGATCTGGCCTTTCCTCATAGGAGTGGGACACAAGTGTTTCCGGCTTAGGCTCCGCGCTGTGGGATGTGAAGCGCCCAACGAAAGGAGTGTTCCATCCTGGGCGCTCAGTAGACGATACCATGTCTGTTAAAAGAAACACCTAGATGAAAACTTCTGAAGCAGATGTGTACATACCCCTACCCCAAGCTCTTTTCACACCTTTGTTGTTTTCTGAGTCAGTCTCCCTTTATCTTTGACTCATAACATATAGTTAAAACCAGACTCCATCAATGGTTCAAAGTCTGTGGGTGAGATGAAGAAAACTAATATTGATAAAGAACTGAGAAGGGGTAAACCACATTCCCCACTTGTGGTTCTTTTGTATTGCAGAATTATCACACTGAGAGACTCTCTTAAATAGCCATGGCTTTGTGTATGGATGGCGGAGGAGTGCAGTAATAATGTGCGTGTAAACTGGCCTACCCACTAGTGTGCACTAGTTCCAACTTGTAAATAACCAAAGATGGCAACGGTGTGTTAAGAATGTAAGGCTGTGTCTTGTCATTTGTCTATAAAATGTGATGCTGAACATATTCTTTATTTTCTGAGACTGACATTGCCTTCTTACTGTCTATTAAATTACTCATTACTACTACTCTTCTTGAGGTGAAAATAAGTACATACTAGAAATAAATATAGCTCTGAAGGGGGGAAAAAGCTCTGGTTTGTTATAGAATATAACCTTTCTATCTCTATTAAAGCTTCCAGATGTAGACTTTATAGCCCCTGTGTGAATTATATATGGATGATGATTGTGTTAGGTTAAAACTTGGTACCTTTTCTGGATGTTTTCTCAGTCAAATTAATCCTTATGTTTCAACATAAATTGAGGCTAGAAGAAGTTCCCGTTTCAGCAATTCTCACTAAATTTTGTTTCAGTTTTATTTCCAACTGAATTTAATAATTGAAAGCCTCTTGTGGTTAGGAATAGTGTTGGAGACTTTGGTAGAATCTAATTATTTTGAACTTTTAAAGCCTTAAAACGTGAAATGTAAGGCCAGAGTAAAATTTTCTGATAGCTTTCATAGTCTATTAGTTCAGTGTTGCTTATTTTAGAGGGGACAGTATCTAAATTGAAATGTGTATTCATTATAGTTGTAATGGTCTCTTTCAACTCTTTTAAAAATCAGTTCATTTAGCTACAAAGAGAAAATAAAAAACATTTAAAAGGCTAATAAGCAGAGGGCATGTGAGTCTGTTCCTGTTTCTTAACTGACGTTTACTAAAAAAAAAAAAAAAAAGTGAGCACTGCCCATAAACTCTGTGTGCGCACACGCGTGTATTTGAGGAACTAGCAGGGGTCTGCTCATTTGTTTGCCCATTGTGAGACTGTCCAGCACCTTTGTGGGGTGTTGTTTTTTATTATTATTTTTTTTTGTACCAGGGTGAAGGCCCTGAATGGAGGCCTTGTGCCCTACTTGATTTGAAATCCTCACTGTTAATCTAAAGGAACCTGCAGGGCACCCAGCAGGAAGTCTGTGTGACAAGTGGAGGTCTGGGATCCGGAAGCTGTGGTGCTCAGGGGCAGGGGGCAGTGAGAGTGGTAATAATCTTTCAGCCTCGGCTTTTGTCCCCCACAGCCTAATTGTTATCCTCCGCGGGCAGCCAGATTGAAGAGCTACCCTTTTGGGTGTCCTGGATCGCATGTGCTCACTGCGGCCTCACCTAACTGTTACCAGATTAAAACCTGGACAACTGGGCTTTAACTCTCTTAAAAAAGCATAGTACTGACTAGGCATTACGCATTCCTTTTAGAGATGAGATATTTTGATGAACTGTGTGTGTGTGTGTGTGTGTGTGTGTGTGTGTAGAGCTTTATTTAAAGGGTAGAAGGGTTGCTTGGGAAATGCTGTGTTGTTGTCATGCTCTTTATTACAGAGCCTGTTTAAAACCAGCACTTGGCTAGTTAAATCTAGTTTGCGCAGTTTGTGTACTTTGTAGTAGTAGCTATTGGTCCAAAGTTTCTTGGCTTAAGAAGCCATGTAATTTTAAGTGTATACTGTGTGAGAAAGGGGTGGGGCAGTAGAAGCTTTTTATAGGGCTTCAACTAATAAACATTAATTTTTAAAGTAATATTTTGAGAATTTAACAGGAGAAGTAGAACCTGTATGTGGTATTTCTTTAAACACTGACAAGGGAAAGGGAGAGAATTTTGTTTTTAAGTGATATTTTCTATTCTTTTTTGCTCTCCGCTCAGAAACTGGTTCTTCAACTTTCAGTGCCAATTAAGACATGCTGTAATAAGTACTTTATATGCTGTCCTGCTGTTTGACTTTGGGTGTAAATGGTGGTAGAATGTTTAGTAGCTGAGCATACATAGTTAAACAGCTAGAGATTGGGTATATAGTAAGTTTGGTGTGGTGTGGTATTTGGTTTATATAATAGTATTTCAGCATAATACCGAAACCATGCAGAATACCTCCTGGAAAAGTGTTCAACAGGATGCCAGAAAGGCCATGTTAATGATAAGTTTCTCATACTTCAGCAGGTTTTTTGGGTGTGTTTTGTTTCCCTACTGCTGTTTTATTCTTTATTGTGGTTCTCTGGAAACTATGCCACGTGAACATATGGAATTCTATGCATGAATGTTTATTGATTTTGTAGAAACCCCAGGATACTGTGAGCTTAATAACTATGTTGTTTTGTGGGTTATCGAGAGGACATACTAAAAGTCAGTTGTTAGTAAAGTTTTCATTAATTATTTTAACATTTTCAAGGTAATATTAAAGGCAGCTCAACCAAAATCAGAATTAAGCAATAACATGAGCTTTTGGTTTGCTCCGGTTTAAAAGAGAGTTTGATCATAGCTGACCTCCTTCCCCATCTTTCACTGACTGTTAACCTTCCTGCAAAACTCAAATATGGTGTTTAGTTTGTATGGTCTCATAATAAATTTAGGTGTGTGTGTGTGTGTGTGTACATGTATATATATATTTAAAATAAAAAGATACATGTTTTTGCTCTTGATGATTCACTGCTTTGATTTTTTTCTACGTTCGATAAAGTGTTAAATGATAGCTATAACATATTTATATGTCTGCTTAAATGTAATATCAATTGATAGTTTGTGATAAGCCTTGCTTTGTTTTGGTTACAACTCATTGAGATATTTATGAAGTGCTTTGTATTTGTGTTTGTTTAGGACATGTCTCAGGAAGGCTATGGAACTAGGTCTCAACCTCCTTTGGCTTCTGGAAAACCTAACCATGAAGACTTGAACTTAATACAACAAGAAAGACCATCAAGCTTACCAGTAAGACATTAGTGTGCTGATTTGGAAATGTAATGAGTTAAAAATTTTTTAAAAGAGCTCTTGTTTTTGTTTGTTCTATTTTATATTAAGACTTGGGGGAGAAGTTTCTAGATTTCAGATATATTTGTGATTTATTAATTTTTTTAGGGCTGTCTTAAGAGCTGTGTGGTCTTGGATAAGTCTCTTTCATTTGTAGGTATCTCTTAGTCCGGTTGGAAGGTTTATTCAGCGGATGGGTTTTGTGGCAGAAAGGTGTTTCTGTTGTACAGTTGTTCTTTGCTTACCTTGTTAATTTCTGGTAGTGATACACAGCAACGGTGTCCGATATAAGAGTTAAACGTAAAGAAATTCCCACTTGGCAGAGGATATCAGCGATGAATGAGAGAAAGCATCCGGTGGTAGTTTGAGTATCTGCTGGGACTTTATGTAATGAGAAATCACCCGGTCCATTTCTACCTAAAAGAAAGTATTTTCCTTTAAATTTGGCAAAAGCAGCTTATAAGTATTCCACCAGCAAATACTGTGTGCTGATTGGGGTATATATTGATTAGAGTAGTGGCTACATTCTAGGGAATCATGTTGAGGCCCATAAATAGTTCATCTGTTTTTTTAATGAGCAGCCTAATTTAATTTAAATGAGGTTTTCCTTATAAACTAAAAGAATACATCTGCAAATAAATTTTTATATTTATTTTTTGTTAAAATATTGTGATTTGAAAAATTATTACTATTCCTTAATCTTTATTAAGTTTCATTTAAGATGGGAGTTTGGGCTAGCCATGATTTTAATTTGAGTTTCAAATATTTTACATTAAGATTTATTATATTACTGCTAAACATTTGAGAACCAGCATTTGTAATGAATGTTCTACGTGATGTTTGGCATGCATAGCGTACCCATTTTTAAGTTACGTGTAGCCTTAGAGAAGAAGGTAAGTCATGGTTACAGGGTGTATAGTATCTTCGAAGCTGATGCACATGTTTTTGACATCCTCATTTTTTAGCTGTTATTTCTGTGGTGGGTGAAATTTATTGTGGTCATTTTGTAGTCACCTTGGAGTATTTATTGTCTAGTTATTTGATTTTTGAAGTAATGAAAGAGGTGATGGATTCTGCGTTTTGTGCTGTATGCTTTTTTCTTTAGCGGATGATTCACAGCTTGGTAAGCGTGTAGTTTGTGTGTGCACGTATGCAGGTGAGCACTGTTGATAAATGTAACATTTGCTGCATATTTGGAAATTGGCTTGTGGTTTTAGGAAATTTAAATGGACTTGCAGGAAGCAGATGGACAATGAATTCCACTTTTTTCCCCCACCAGATTTTTGTTGTTTTTAGAGAAACCCAACTTTGTAGGTGTGCCTTTGGCTGATGAAGTGTACTGCTACACATGTGGAAACATTTGTTATAAATTGATAGATTTTTTTATGTAGCTATAAGAAAAGTTTGTGGTGTGGTGCTTTCCTCATATGCACTTGAACTTCACCAGGCTGTGCTTCTTTTCATGGCTCTGCACTGAAATGGGTGCTTGATATTCAGCTAGCTCTACAGCACAGTTGTTAGGGAAGGAGTGAAATGCAGTCGTCCCAGAAAACTGAAGAGTTCTGCTCTGGGATGGTGCTTTTTAAGTTGATAATTGAAAAGGGGGCTAAAAGCATTTTGGGAAGTGAACCGATATATTCATCAGTAGTTTAAGTTTTTCTCAATGGTTCTGTTGGTATACATATGATGACCTGCTTTCTTCCTTACCCTTTACCATGCCTAGTTCCCAAGAGGATCTAAGGTGGTTCATCACATACATTTTCTTATGAGCTAATAAAAAAAAAGAAACGCCCCAATTGGTCTTTTTCTTTCTGTCTTTGTAACTCTCACAGGTAAATAAGATGCCAGTTGACTCAGTAACATTTCAGTAGTTTTTTAGAGAGCAAAATTTCCAGGTTTTGGGGTGAGTATATGGACGTATCAGTTACTGAATAAAGAACAAAGCACAGATCAGCTAGTGTACCTCACACACCCCCTGCCCCTGCTGCTAATCTGTGAAGGTGAAAATTGGCTTTATTTAAATGAATTTTAGCAAGACACTTTTCTTTCAACAGGCTTCATTTGTGTAAAACGTTTCTGTACAGGGTTTACTGATATATTCTTAGCCATGTGGATGCTGCATCAGTCTGTTGTTATATACAATTAAGGTAATCACAATGGGGGGGGAAATTTGTTGGTATTCTACTTGGCTCTAATATCAATATGTTTTTAGTGTTACTCCTATTAAATATTTTAGTTCTCCAACTTGGTTAAGTTGATACTGTAGGTATCATGAAACTGTATTATATCTGAATTTCCTATTGGGTAGTTTGTAGATTTATGCTGCATTTTTATTCAAGTGTCAGTGATATAAATTTTGTCTTTTTACTTAAAGCTAAAGACAATCCATCATATTTGTAACCTCTATTTTGTGATTTGGAACTAAGGAAATTGTGGGTGTTACCTTGACCTTTGAAAAAAATGTGGTATAGTGATCCTAATGTATGATTATTAAGTCTTTATTGTGTATGTGACTGAAGAAGGAAGCTTCTCTAGTTATTTCTTAATCTTTTTTATTATATTGAGATAGATTTTGTAATATTTTCTACACATGTGATATTTTCTTTAGCATGTTTGTTACATGGTTAAATTTCTATTACAAGAAATCAAGATATTTCCAGTGTCTTTATGCTAGATCTATAATTTGAATTCTCAGTAAGTTGTCCACTCACCATTCTTTGAACTGGTGTCTCTCTGTTTTTGCATGTCATTAAATTCTTGGTGATCTTCAGTAGCTAAAGCAGTTATGTTCCAGCTGACTTAGATCTTCAGATCATCCACAGTAAAGCAAATAACTGATAAATTAATATTTGTCCTCTTGTTGTCTTGGGGCCATGACCAGTGATATTTACTTATCACTTAATTCACTCCGATCTAAGCTTAGAACAGATCTTTCTTAATAATGTCCACTTATTGCTGTACCTCTTAATCGTACAGCTTTTCCCCCATTGAGACACATTAGCTTACATACTCTTGATATTACCATTTTTAGCAAATCTTAGCATATAGCAGATATTAAAAGTAGCTTGAAGAACTCTCTCTCCTGGGAATAGTATCCCTTAAAATTCAAGCCCATTCTGCATTTTTTTCTGCCTCTATTATTGATATGAAATGAAGCCAGCATTTGAGCAAAATACACTGTGGAGGGCCAAAAAAAAAAAAAAAAAAGCTATAACTTATTAACTCTTTATCTTAAAAACATTGAGTATATCTCAATTTCTATTTTAACTCTCCAAATATTATTTAATAATACTTTTTTTTTGTTGGATCTTTTGATACATTTTCATTGCTTGTGCCATTACTATTGATCTTTTTATTAGATTTATTTTTATAGCTGTCTTCACTTCCCTATTAATAGATGAGGATCTTTTCAGAATATTTATTATGTCTTATTCAGCAAGTATTTTCCTAATAGATTTTATGTAGAAACTTTTAAACACATTCTTCCTCTAGTATCAGAATTTTCTTTTCATTGCTGAAGGGATTTTTTTTCCCAAGGTATTGACTTGATAGTAGACAGCCTATGTTCTCCAATGCTTCCGATACTAAAGGATTATATGAGTGCACCATCTGTATTAGCAGGGTGGGGTTTTGTCAAAACCATTTTCTTTTATTATAAGATGACATTTGAATTTTACCTGGTAGCGTTAAGCTTACATAGAAGTGGGCACTTTGGGATAATTAAGCTAAAAGTAGTGTGAAAAACATTCTTGGTAGCGTGAAAACATTCTTTTAATTGTAAAAATAAATAAATTGACAGGAACAGTAATCATTTCAGTAAATATGGCTTGGATATGTTGTTAATAAAATACTTTATGAACATGTATACAAGGACGTAAACAAACAAAAGGTTTGATTTTCTTCCTTCATCTAAGCACATAGTGCTTTCTCCTCCCGGGATTTGAAGAGCCGTTAGTTTTCCTCAGGTTATAGCAATCACAAATCTGTTTCATTCTTCCAAGAGGCCTGCCACCAGTTTGTGTTTCAGGTAGTAGGTCCATTATGCTGTTTACCTGAGAGACAGAAAGGATCAGTCACATTCTAATAGCCTTTGAGAAGCCCATCAGGTCATTAAAATCCTCCTTCTGACCCTTTCTTCTTTAAATAGGAAATATCTAAAGAGATCGACATAAAAAGGGATTTTATCTTTCAGAGTTTAGTAAAAAACCCGTACTTCTGTTGAGTTTGCAATTAGAAGGGACTATTGAGGTTTAGATAAAACATATGTTTTTTGGCCCTTTGCGAAAGGAAGGAGGTAGTAAATGCTGGTTGTTCTTTGAAATAGAGGCTGTTAAACAGGATATTGGAAGCCTGAAAGAGGATGGTTGGAAAACTGTTATTACCAAGGATATTCTTTGGGGGTTAGGTATTAGCAACAGAGCCTACAATGATTTGCCTTTCCTGAAAAAGAATACTCTGTGTGTGTTTGTTTTTTAAATCTTTAATGACACTTATGTTGGATAGTGGTAAAAGGTCATGCACTTTGGAAGCATATATGAATATTGATGATATGTTAATAGGGACATTTTAAGTGTGTGGATTTGATATAGTTTCTGTGAATAATTGCAAACTATTGGAAAAAGCTAGGTGAAGCGTTTTTTAACTGGGTTTTGCTTTTTATTAAGCTTTGAACCCTACCTAAAATACAAATTGTTAAAATGATCTCAACCTGTTAGGTGGCAGGTTTTCGCAGAAGTTGAAACGTACCAGGTAAGAATTAGATGTATGGCTGCTGAATGAACTCTTCCAAAACTTTTTTTATTTGTATCTTGAACTTGATTTAAATGGTTTTCAGTAAAAGGTTAAGAATGTAGCTGTCTTCTGTGGCTTGATCCTTCTCAAATCGCAGTGTTAGAGCATTGAGAATTCCTGTGTGCAGCTGACCACATAAGCGGTTTATGAGTGTTCTCTAAATGTTGGTA